TCTCAAAACAAACTTAGCTGATGTCTTTGAGGTCTTTAATGATAATTCATGTTTTTAACCCTGAAATCTTTCAAAGCACTTTTGGATTTCTGGTTTTTGGAGTGGAAAGCTGTACCTCATACGCAGTAATTGGACGTAATGTATAGCTAAACACTCTTTCATGTGCCTTTTGGTTCATATTGTTTATAGTGCATCTATTAGGAAGTAAGCTAGCAGAAAAGGCTCTCTTGTAAATAAGTGCGGTTCGTGGAATTATGAATTGTAGGGTTTTTATGGGAGAAACATTATTAGAGAAGCGCAACGTCAATAATCTGTGAAAAACCTTTCTTCAATAAAAAAAGGATTTGATGTCCCAAGTAGCGTAAAAAGTTAATGGGGTATATATGGATATACTAACACATCTTTCTAATGGGCTGAGATTTCCACTCAACTTTGACATTTTCAGAACTTATGCAAATACTATTTCAATCCTCGCTTTCATTTTATATCATAGTCGCAATTATATCTCAAATTGCCAAGCCTCTCCAGTTGTTACCTGCTCATACCTCTGAAACTTTACATCTTGACCTAAGTTTTGCAACTTGCTTGTAAGAGGGAAACCTTTGAAAGCTATTGAAGCGATGAGACGTTGGGAATAATGAGAAATTCCTCAAAGACGATGAAGTTGTGAGGAGAGTGTGGAGACGAGTTGACGGTGGGTGTGTGTAACACAGCGGCTGGCGTACCCTTGCAATCCCCGTTTCCTTTAACTGATCATACGTCTGCTTGTTCGAATTATGAAATTCATTCGAAGACTTCCCTTTTCTTTTCATGGGCTGTCTAAGACGAATATTGAACTGCTGTTGAATAAAGCTCTAAAAAACTGAAGATATTGACCATTCATCCATAGCTTTCGATCTTTTATATCTCAAAATAAGAGTTTGGAAGATTGAGTTTTCTTCTTACAGCTTTTCCTCTTTCTCTCTAGTGGATTCCATTTCTCTCACTCTTTTTTCTTTCCCCATCGCCACTGCACCATCTGTTCACAACCAATAAAAGTTCCCGCACAATTGCAACCACCTACTACGTCAGTTTTCGTATCCTTCTCATCGGAAATACTTGGGTGACATCTGATTAGTTTTATGAGAGTAATGCATTCTGCTATAGCGCTTAGTCAGTAAAATCCAACCTCAGGAACTCACATGTCACTCAATGCAATCGGCAAAAGTCCAAAGCTCTTAAGGACACGGCCATAAATATTCTTCACTGACTGCTATTGCCGCTGCGGGCAGCAATCCGATAACAGGCTATTTTTCTTTATCTCTTCCTATCACGACAAATTTTCACATTCAATTACATCACAATCGAACGCAGTTCCTCGGCTTCGATGTGTGTATGAATTTCTGCACATTGTGATTGTGTAACTCACTAATGCGCTAGTCCGGATGCAATTCACAGCTGTCAGTTGCCCACACGTCACCTAACACATATACTTTAAGCAATTCGCGTATTTACAATTTATGGAAAACTTAGCGGCACAACACGAGGCTTGCACTCTCAAGCACCTCATTAGGAGGTACGATTTCCGGGCTTTACCAGTAATTGCGATGCACTTACTGATAAGATGCTATAGAGTTAGGGAGATCCTGAAGATAGTTTTAGACTAATGCGATATTATGCTA